TTAACTTTGTTTTCCAAATCTGTTGTTTTTTCAGTTAGCATATTCAAGGTAGCGCCAATTTTAACCAGTACTATATCAGCGAGTGTTTTTGCCAGATTATCAAGGACATTAGGATCGGCAAAAATTCCTTTATTATTTCTTTTGAGACGTCTTTAACAATATATTTCAATTCGGTTTTTTGCCTCTCGGTAAATACCATGTTTATCGATTGAGAATTTTGATATATAAAAAATTATATTCACTAATTTCACTACTTACAGTGATATTTTCTCTTGAAAAATTTTACACACTAACTAATATTTATGCTTACTTTGACCATGCAAAGTTTAATATATATTTTCGTAAACAAACTCAAGATATATCTATATTTTTTACGGAGCCACAAATGAACGTGTTTATTCTACCGTACCACACATACTCTCTCATCAATTGAAGTTTTGTGATTACAGTGATATATAATTATTTATATAGATTTGTAACAAATTGCTCGCTATTTTATGGCAAATGCTGAAGCTCTGCAAACCTGAATCAAAGCACGTGCTTTGATTCAGGTTAGGTCACACGTGTGACGTCTGAATCAAAGCACGTGTGTTTGGAATTTTGGTTATGGCTTAACGGTTTGACGGGATCGGGCTAGCCTTAGGCAGATTTTTGAAATATAATATATATTTCCTTCAGCCACACACCCACTTTACTCGACCCCTGAGAGCGACCTAGTACAGCGTAATAGACTCTTAAATTTAAGTCACATAAAAATATAAATAGAAATATCCTTTTTCCATTTTGAGTAAATCAACCTACTTTTGATTTTGATTTATCATACATCATTAAATTTTGATTTATCATACATCATTAAAAGGATTATCCAGAGAGCGGAATATTCCGTATAATGCCACAGCGCATTTTTATTTCGTGAAGGCTTTATGATGGACACGGAGTAATCTTGGGGCAAAAAGTTTTAATTTCATTTAAAGTACAATAGTTACTTTAACTACATATTAGGCTATACCGGGTATATTCCAATTTAGGTAGCTTTTATTGTAATTTAAAAATTGTTCTTTATTTTTAGTAAATGTTAAATATATCAAAAACCTTATATTTTAGTCATATATTTCTCTAATAAACTTATTTTTCTCCTAGAATCCGAAAATCAATTTATATATAGGGTGTTCCGTTACAAAAAACACAACTTTGATATGTAACTTTTTTTTTTGGACACCCTGTAGTACTCTCTATATTTTTAAAAGGTGCACTGAATTAACATATGCTCACAACATTTCATTTTAATACAAACTGTCGTTCTCCCTAGATCCTCTGCGTCTTATGAGTGGCACCACCCTGTATATTCTCGATACTCAATAATATACCGTACCATTCCTAATTTTACCTTACGGGCAGCATCGGGGGGAACGGACGGCTGGTTGACGGCGGCGGAGGACGCGCCCGATTAAGTTGGCCCCCCACCAAAATTTTCGTACTTTTTTATGTTATAATTTTGCACATATTTTCCACATATTTTGCACAATTTTGCACAGGTATTTTCAATTTTTGCACACCTGCGTGGGGAAAGGTATTAACATGTGTTAGTGGGTGGGGGGCAACTTAACGTTAGCCCTCTTCATAAATTTTTTCAAAACATTTATTATGTTAATTCGAAGCATAATTTTTATACTTCTTTTTACAACTTTTAATATGCCAATCGAAAGCGTGATTTTTGCACAATCAATTCCAATTTTTGCACAGCTACCCTAAAAGAGATAAGACTATTAGAAAAAATGTTGGTAGCTCACCCCCCACTAAACTTTTTGCAACTTTTAATATGCCAATCGAAAGTGTGATTTTTGCGTAATCAATTCCAATTTTCGCAAAGATGCCCTAAAGAGATATGGCGATTAGAAAAAAAATGTCGGTAACCTCCCCCACTAAACCTATTGCAACCTTTAATATGCCAATCGAGAGCTTGAATTTTGCACAATTTTGCACAACCAATAGCAATTTTTTACTCAAGTACCTATACTTAAATGTTTTAATAAAACGGCGGTAACGCTGCCAGTAAATTTTTTGCGTGATTTTTCTTTTCAGCATCAAATAAAACGTGTCTTTTTCGAGCTACAAATTTAGTGGTATATTAAGGCCCTTTCAGCAAGAACAGAAGTAACTGGTAACTGATTATCGACGCTCGACATCGGCGGCGACGTACTTCGCCCCAGCCGTCGCGCTCCTAGAGCCGTAGTTTTTAGTAACCGAGCTACAAATTTAGTGATATATTAAGGCCCTTTCAACAAGAACAGACGTCCCTGCTGTAACTGGCTATCGACGCTCGGCCTCGGCGGCGACGTACTTCGTTCCAGCCTTAGATTAAGAATAAGTTCCAGCAGTCGCTGGAGCGCTTCTAGGGTTCCGGTTTTGCCTGTCACGATTTGGTCGGTTACTATTGGCGTTGGTGCTCCCGACTCTACGTTACTTTCGATATAGCGATTTTTGGTATGTACTAGGTATGGTATAAAATAGCGTTGTTTGAAAGATGAAACGCAAAAGCGTCAGTTTGGGGTAATAGGAGTAGATCATATTGTTTTATTTTATTTAATACATACCTAGTTTAATATGCAAAATTGAAACCTAACGTATCGCCACTGTCATAAATTCTTCTAGCCATCTGTATTGTTTACAAATTTGTCTATGAAATTGTTTATGAATTTACACGGGCACAGAAATAACGACAGGGTTGGGAGCAGTGTTGCTAGAACTTCTATCATTCTCTATAATAAATTTAAAAATACAATTTATATTACGAAAGTTTTATTTTTAAAAGAGGAGTTTAAGAGAGAGGGTGTTAATCAGTGCGACTTTAGAAATCTATCGTGTCCCCCTTCTTGAATTATAACTAATCATACAGTCCCAGGGTTTTGACAAAAACAAATATCTGGGTTTTATAGAGGGTAATTCTCCATCTCAAATATCAGTTGTACCTAAGTTTATGGCACGAATGGTTGTAACAGCTGGTAGAATTGTAAGAACCTAACAGCACTGGTTGGGAGTAGATAGGTACTAATGCCAGAAATACTGCATAAGCGAGAACCGCGACACTTCGGAAGTCGGAACCTCGGTTATAAAATCGCGGTATTTTGTCGCGGTATTTTTCTGGAACGGTCGCTATTGCAACGCGACTCATGTGGAACCGGTACTCCCATCACTAGTGGGGGGGGGCTATCACCATTTCCTCTAAGCCCTATATCTTCTAAATGGGGAATTGTGCAAAAATCGGCATAGGTTGTGCAAAATTGTGCAAAAATCATGCTTCGAATTAATATAATGAAAGTTTTGAAAAAATTAGTAGGAGGGGGGCTAGCGTTAAGTTGCCCCCCCCCCCACTAACACATGTTAATAACTTTTCCCACTTAGGTGTGCAAAAATTGAAAATACCTGTTCAAAATCGTGCAAAATATGTGCAAAATTATGACGTAAAAAAGTATGAAAATTTTGGTGGGGGGCCAACTTAATCGGGCCTGGAGGACGGCGAATTGTTTAGGATCTAGACGGTGTCACTCGCGAACCTTGTGGATGTTCTCCATGTTTCTGGCTACTAGATGAACTCGTTTCGCTCCATTTTTAGCCAGCACAGTTTGTTGATAGTGAAGAGTCAATTGGCATCCTTTTTTATCCATGTTATATGTATATTTGGCTCGGTTTGGTCCGAATTGTTTTTCTATCATAGTAGTTTTAAGCTTCTTAAAGTAGTGGGAGTTAGGTAGTGAAGTTAAAGAAATTTCATTAGTTAAATAGAGTGACTTTTTAGGACCATTTAAACTTATTATTTTGTTTCTATATTATATTTGATTACTATTGTTTCTTAAAGTTAGACCATTGAAAGAAAAGATGAGAAATAAGACAAGTAATCGTGAATATTATGTAAACTATGAAAATATAAATATTGATTAGATTTGTTTATCTATTATTGATTTATTTTAATATAGATCACCTGTGTGGTTACGGGCCTGCAAATCTTAATCATTTGAGCTGTCTGACGAGCTGAGCGGTTTATTAGTAAAGTACTTTTCAATATTAAACTCCATTGAAAAGAATAATCAAGCGGAAAAGCAGGGAATAGATACATTAAAAACATCATAAATAAAAAATGCGTAAAAGATAAATTCTATAACAAAGCTATTGAAACTTAGAAAACGTCAACATTTCAGATTTCCAGTATTTTACCGAACCAGACCAAACCGTTCCGTACTTAACCGATGTTTTTCAGGAACCGCTCTTTGCTGTAGTTTACCGGTCTGGTTCACCTGGTTTTACAACAGAATACAGTCAAAGTTTTTGATTGACAATACAGCTTGGATGATTTAAAAAAAGTAATCCCGATCGACTCACACTTTTTTGGGCCATACTGTAGAAGTTAAAATATTTTCCTGAAATACATCCTAGTATATACTTTAGTTTGGCACTTACACCAAATTCCTAAAAACAATTTTATTTTAGGAGCTAGAGATGCCTGACGCACTGTTGCCGGGCTCGTAGGAAAAACTTTGAAACGCGGCAACCCCTAGTTGCGGCAAGTTTTTGATAGGCGCCCTGTGAAAAGTGTATTCTCCTATTTATAAATATACGTAAAAATTAGGTTTTGTTTAAAAATACGATGAGCGTATTAATCATACAGTCGGATCCTGTACATAACGATATCTGCAAACGCGACCTTTCAGGTGGAAAATCTACCCTTATTTATATTTAAGCGACAAGACGCCGGCTTCATCTTGTCGACTGCATTTAATTATTTCGATGACCCATTTTTATCTTGCATTGCAAATGTTCAGTCTCGTTTTATTAACCTTCTGAACAATACGGCAATCGGACCGAACTTTTGATGGAGAAAGCGTGTTTATAAATACATATTGTAAATATAATACCAAATTTAGTTGCGCTAAGACGGCATCATGTTTTGATGTCAATTATGGGTCTTAATTCAATTTTAACAATAAAAATTTGTGTTTTTGTAGGAAAGGGTGTATGAGGAAACAGTGGGAGGCAGTCCGGAAGTAACTAGTTTAATACCAACTATTTTAACGCCATGTAGTTCTAATTGTGAAGCCGTAACACCGGAAATGGAACGTTCACCTTCAGTAACTCCACTGCACAAAGTTGACGTACAGTAAAGGCATTTAAAAACGTAAATATTTTCAAATAATTCGGAATCTAGTCACCTATAACTAATATTACACGATTCATTTATTTATCGAATACTTACATGTAAATATAAAATTTGTCAAATTAAGGTGACTGACAATAAAATAAAACTGTTATAATATATTAACAGTTGTATACTTCAGACTGTATTATGGTATAATGGAGGTTTAATTTCGTTTATTTTTTGCTTTACTTTTATCCATGTAACATGACGAAGAGAGAAGAATAAATCAAAAATATTTTTCATTGTACGAAGTTATCAATAGATCTGTTTTGCTAATGGTTTGACCTAGAAACAATTAAAATGAAAATATACGTTTTTTTTTAATTTATGAAAGTTTAACTCTTATGTTTTATTAATAAAAGATGACAGTAATTTTAGGAAGGCAAACATTAATATATTTAGTGACAAATAAAGTTTTACTAAGGTATGAAATATGTACATTGATTAAATAACTTTTATGCCAAATTGTGTCATTTTCCTTATTTGGACGTAAAATAAATAAATATATATTATATAAACCTACGTATAAAAAAAATGTTTTAGTTTATTCTCAGTTATATAATTATTAGGTATAGGACATATCCCTGTTAAAATATATTTTAACAAGAGTTGCGACAAATACCTAGTTCTGCAGTTGTGTGTTAATAATGCGGTATACATATCTCTATATCTGTTTGTAGAACACTAAACTTTTGAATAAACGTAATTACGTAAAGAAATGTCTGAAATAAACTAATCATTAAGCCTTGTCTATATTTTTACGGTGGATTTTTTGTTTTTCGAACTATTGAATTTACAAGTTACAAGTTAAACTATATTAACCATCTATTCAAAGTTTATAAATGACAGAAGATATATTTGATACATTATTGTAATAATTCGATACCTAAACAATTATTTTGGATAAATGTGTATTAATCTATTAATTTTTTGACGATCTCTTCTTCCCAGTAGTTCCAACTTTAGACCAAATAAATATAGAGATATAATGGATTAATTCTCTATCAACACGAAACTCGAAAATATTTGTCAAAGTATGTTGTATATATGGGTAACATATTTGAAAGTATTTCGAATCGATTGCGTCATTACAGGAATAATTTCGTGTGTTGCGCCGTTATAGAGTTAGATCCAGTGTCCAATTAAAAGAAATTACTTAATACACTAAAATAAAAAAGTTTTATCTCTCCAAAAAATCCTATATGGGTTTTTCGCCACTGCAAGAAAATCTACAAAATAAAATAGTTATTTTATGTAAACACTTCTGGCGTTAATCCCAAACGGAAAGTATTTGTCAGAAGTTAGGTTTAAAAATATACAAATTTGCCTAACGAACAAAAAAATGCTTAACGTTTCGGAAAGTTTATCTCTTTCCGTCGTCGGAAGCAAAAAAATACAAAGAAAAAAGAAATATAAACTATTTAAAATATTTAAATTCAACTATTCGAGAACACAGTTTTTTAAAACAGTCTACAAAAACCGTTGACGTTCTGTTAAAATGATATTATATCAAGTTAAACTTCAAAATTGACTTAATTACTTAATAAGGTAAAACCAAAAAGCCCAAACTTTCTCTATGATTATTTTTAATTTTTACGTATGTTATGTTTATTTCGGTTATGTTCTTTAAAATCAAAAAAGCGATATTGCCATACATTATTAACATCTACAGATGCATGAGCAATATATTTATTTTTATTAGATTGAATTAAAAAGCCTCTTTTATTTTTCTTTTAGAGGCTATCGCTTCTTTCATTATAATTTTGGCGTTATTAAAATTTATTCTGTACCCTGTGTCTCATGAATGCTGACAAATTTTAGATTTGTGAAAATCTCCCTTTCTTAAATAATCTTTATATTCCTTAATTCGGAACATTTAAGGGTCTAGATGTTTCACCAATGTAAAATTTATCGCATTCACATCGTATTTGGTATATTACATTTTTTGTTTGTTGTTCTGTCTGTATTTATTGGTTTAGTATGTGATAAAATGGATCTAAGTGTATTTTGTGTTTTGAAATATGTTCGTATGTTATAATGTTTTCCTATATTTATTTTTTCCGAAACGCCTCGTATATATGGAATTGTAAGTTGTATATATTGTGTATTGTTATCATTGTGTCTACGATTTGGGGTTTGTATTTCGTTTAATGTTTTGTCAATAAAATATGGTGGATAGTCGTTTTTTATTAATGTATTTTTTATGTGGTTTATATCTCTGTTTAGTGAAATGTCGTTTGAACATATTATTTTTGCCTTATCTTATAAACTTTTTATAACACCTTTTTTTACACTTATACTGTGATTAGATGTGAAATTTAAGTATCTATCTGTGTTTGAGGGTTTTCTGTAAACATCTAAAATTAGTTTATTTTGAAACTTTGACACTAAAACATCAAGAAATGGAAAACGATTACGTTTCTCTACTTCTAAAGTAAATTTTATGGTAGGTTCGCGAGAAGTTATATAATCCAAAAAAATGTCTATTTCATAAGCGTTAGGTATGTTGCCATATTGCAAAAATATCATCAACATAACATACATACATACCGCCATTACTCGCCAAGGCATTTTCTTTCGTGAGCTTTTCTGTGACTGAAAAGCCCGATACGTGATGTTATCTGTCTACCGTACTCCAGACATTCAAAAATCTCATTGCTTTGTTGCCTTTTCACTTTTTGGTTGTCGCTCTTAACTGACTTTACAATTCTTCTCCATTCCGTTCTATTGTGAGCTGCCTCTTCCCACTCATTCTGCTTGTTAATTCCCTTTAAGTTTTCTTGAAAAATATCCTTGAACCTTTTGAGTTGTCCATCCGGCTTCCTCTTACCGTACACAAGTTCACCGTAAAGCAGAGATTTTGGTATGCGGTTTTCTTGCATTCTGCACATTCTGCATACGTGACCAGCCCATCTTAAACGGGACTTTGTAATCATGACTTCAATACTCTCGCAGTTAGCTTTTTCAAGGACCGATACGTTTGAGACATGATGGAACCATTTTATTCTTAAGAGTTGTCTAAGATGTCTCTGTTGCAACTTGTTTAATGCGTTCATGTGTCGGCGGTACGGCACCCAGGTTTCGCTTCCATATAACATGGTGGGAATTATTACCGTTCGGTACACCGCAAGTTTCGTTTTTGTGCTCAAGTCATGATTGTAGAAAACCCTGTCTTTTAATTTCCAGAATGCTCTTGAGGCGCTGCTAATTCTGTGCTGAATTTCAGAGTCGAATTGGCCTTTTCCAAAATCAAACTGCCGAGGTAATTGAATTCCGCTACATATTCCAACAGCTAATCTCCGATTTTCATAGCATTGTTGAGATCTTCAGGGGGAGTGCACATGATTTTAGTTTTATCGATATTCAGCTTAAGTCCCAAGGCCTCGTATGCCCATGTATATGTGTTCAACATTTCTTGCAATTGCTGTAACGTATTTGCAACTAGAGCACAGTCATCAGCGTATTGAAGTTCTGTGATGAATTTTGTACGTGTTTTTGCTCTGAGTCTTTTTATGTTGAACAGACCGCCGTCGTATCTGTATCTAATGCCCAAACCTCTCTCCTGCAGTTTGCTGTCTACTATAATGGAGAGCGCTGCCATGAATATATTGAATAGGAGAGGCGCTAAGACACATCCCTGCCTAACGCCTGTGTTAGTTAGGAAGGGATCGCTCAGTGATCAATGATATGACACCCTTGATTTGTTGTTGTTATGGAGGCTTTTACACACTGTAAGAAATTTGATGGGTACTCCGAACTATTTCATAATTGCCCAAAGTGCATCTCTGTTCACAGAGTCGAAGGCTTTTGTTAGATCGATGAATGCAACGTAAAGTTTATACTGCTGCTCTTTTACTTTTTCCTGTAGTTGCCGGATGGAGAATATGGAATCGACGGTACCGCGGTTGGTGCGAAAACCCGTTTGCGATTCTGGGAGAATTTTTTCTATATGTAGGTGCAGGCGGTTTGACATAATTTTTGCGATAATTTTTCCTCCGATAGCCAGTAGTGAAATTCCTCGGTAGTTTCCGCAGTCTGATGCACTTCCTTTGTTCTTAAATATATTCACTATATTCGCATTGCAAAAGTCCTGAGATACCTCTCCGCTTTCCAATATGACATCAAAGAGAGCCTTAAGATGACCAATAAGTTCTTTACTTGCACACTTATAGATTTTCGCCGGAATCGCGTCACAGCCAGCTGATTTGTTGTTTTTAAGCTGTTTTATGGAGTCCTTTATTTCCTGTTCTGTTATTGGAATATCTAATACATTGAGGCTGTTATACTGAGGTATTATGTTGAGTGCTTCCATATTGGGTTTGTTTTCTTGGTTAAGGATATGGCTGTAATGCTCTTTCCAGCTTTTTCTGATTTGCTCTTCCTCTTTTAGAAGTTCGCCATTTTGTGCCATGATTGGGCATCTTGCCTTCTTAGTTGGACCGTATACTTCTTTTACAGCCTCGAAGAATTTACGATAGTCGTGATGCGTGGCATACTCCTGAATCTGACTAGCTCTTTGCGACCACCAGTTATCCTTTAGTTGGTGCAGGTTTTTTCGGAGCGTGTTGTTGGCTGCCTTAAAGTTGTCTGCTAGTCTTGGATTGTGTGGATTTGCAGTGACGGCTTGATGTGCTCTATGCTTTTGTTCCAACAAAGCCTGTATATGCGGTTGATTTTCGTTAAACCAGTCTGGTTGTTTCTTTTTGTTGGATTTTCCCAGTACTGCTTCGCTGGTTTTGTGAACCGCATCTCTTAGTTGTGTCCAGCCATGTTCAGCATCCACGATTGAGATTGAAGTTATCGGTGGAAGTGATTCTTTGATGGCTTCCCGGAGGGCGTCGGCGGTATCGTTGTTCTCTAGACCCCGTACGTTCAATCTGGTCATGTTGTTTTGCTTTTTACAGTGTGGATGTATGAGTTTTAACTGGATTTTCATTTTTGAGATTAAAAGTCGGTGGTCAGTGCCACATTCGGCATCTACTCTGGCTTTTGTGAGACTGACATCTTTTAGATGCGTCCTTCGAACGATTACGTTGTCCAATTGGTGCCAATGGCCTGATCTCGGATGTTTCCAGGTACCTTTAAATTTGTCCTTCTGCATGAACCTCGTATTGTTGATGCATAGATTATAATCTGTGCATGTTGTTAATAAGCGTTCACCATTGCTATTTGCGTTTCCTATTCCATGTTTTCCCAATACGTCAGGCCATATTTCCTGTTGTTTGCCGACACGGGCA